ATCTGGTGGGTGGGAAGGATGAATCCACACATTCTTCCCAGTTCCCAGGGGCTGTGGGGACTGTGTGCCTGCAGACAAAGGGGACCTGCAAGGGGAGCCGGGCAGAAGTGCAAGACAGGAGCAGGGTGAGAAGGAAAAGAAGGAAGAGAAAAGAAGAAGAGAAGAAAGAGAAAGGAAGCAAAAGCCACACGAAGCCTGGACTTGGAGGCTTACCTGCCCTGGGCCTGCATCCAGGGCTGGAGTGGTGGAGAGGGGGTCAAAGAGGGCCTTGAGAGGCAGCAGCCAGCAGCTCCCTCAAGGCTGGCTCCCTTTAAAGGAGCCTTCTCCCCCTGCGGACCATCACTGCGTGAAGAGTGGACAAAACCCATGGGAAATGGGCCTTTGCTATTCTAGTTATGGGCAAGAGCCTGGAGAGCAGAAGGACAGGATTGAAATCCTGGCTCCAGCACTTGCTGCTGAGCAAGAACCCGAGAGTCCTCATCTTCCATGAGGGAAAAGGGGGAGTCACTGTGGTTATCTCGGGAGGCTTCGATGTCAGAATGCATGAGAAGACCTCAGTCCTGTGGCTGCAAGTAGAAAACACTTACAATGCGACGGAGACTAGTTTCTTATTGATTGTACTCTTTTCACCAGGAGTGAGCTCTTGGAGGTGCTGGCCAGGGTCATGGAGGCAGCTGTGGAGACCTCTTCTTCCTGCTCAGATCCCAGCTGTCCCAGGTCTCAGGCGTGTGATGGTCCTAGTGGCAGAATCAGGCCGATTCTTGTTCACTTTAACACCTAGGCACTGAAAACGGGTACTTTTGTCCCCTTCAATATCCATTTCTATTTTTGAACAAGAATACAATGATACTAGAGGAATTAACAACAAAGAAAATAGAACAAAAGAAATCCTTTTGAAATCCACCATTGTATTGCAATAATTCTTTCAAATTTTTTTCCTTCACTGTTGATTGGATATTTCCAGGTTTATATAGAAGAAATGCAACAGCCTAACTTAGCGGAGGCTTGGGAGTTTATTGTTCGTACTTCATCCACCAGTTGGATGTTTACTTTGGAAATTCAGCAGTCAGTGCCTCCGCTCTTCCTCCTAAGCTCTTCTCTGTTACTTAACTCGAGATTGCTGTTGAGCCACTGAACCATGGGAAATTCATTTTCAAAATCTGCTTAATTGCTGTGAGACTTTTAATTTGTTCTGGATGATGGTGCTAATGTCTGGGAACTGGGAGCAAAGCCCTCCAAAGTTGTTAATTTAATCAACCGCTGTGCCCTTGCCATGCCTAATGAAGAGGGCAAGCAGATCCTTCTCACAAAGAGGCCAGGTCCCCCCTGACCACCTCGTCAGAGATGAATGAGAGGCCCCACAGTAAGGCTGCACACTTGGGCCAAATGACCAAGGTGTCCGTCCGCATGCTCCAAAGCCCGGGGTTGTGTGTCCCAAGATAATGAGTGAGTAGGATTTCTGCAGGACCTTTGAGTTGGGGGCCCACGATTTTTGTGTGCGTGTGTTCACACCTGCTAAGCCGCAGAATTCTTTCATCAGTGAAGTTCTGTGGGGGCTTTGTCTACAATCCCTAAGATCATAAACATCACCCCAGACTACTGATGTTCCCGTTAGCCACTGGAGCTTTCCGTGGGGAAACTGGTGAAAGCTTGCTCTGTCCTCATGATAAATTAGCTTGTTTATTCCTCTTCTGCTTGTTTCTATCCTGCTGTTGGTTAGTGTAATGAAGCAGAAGCCCATTGTGTGTGTTCATTGGGTAGCGATCCTCTGGCACCAAAGGGGGTAATTGAGTAGAAAGGCGGAATGCTGTTGGTGCATGGGAGACGTTAACACCACATGAGGTCACCAGGCCTCAAGCTTTAATCAATGTGGACACAATGCAATTGAGATTGTGAAAAGGGTTTGTTTATAGTGGGAGAGTAAGGGTCAGTAGTTAATTTGAAATGCTGTAGGTGTGTTTTCCTTGAACCAAGAAGGTACAGAGCATGTGTCATAGAGGATTGTAAATATCCTCAAGGGAGGGATGTAATTGGGGTGGGGATTGAAAAAGAAGGGCATTTCAGACCTTACTGACCCATCCATGGTTTATTGAAAATTGTTAACATTGTTTAAAATGAGAAGGCTGTAGAAGAACCACTACATAAATCCATAGGATAGAGGCACAGCTCTACAAGAAACAACTTTTTCTGTTTTTTAGCAATGATTTCCTTTGGGAAGATATCTGGAGCACTAGGAAATATTGCTAATAGGAGTACTGTGTACTCTTTTCAGAAGTTTACGCCTTCTAGGATTTTTAATTGTCCTGGCTTGAAAGGAATGATCTGAAAACCACTGGGCCTATATTTTCTCAGCCCTGTACTTTCTCATTGTAGGGTTCCAGCCTATTGCAGGCATCTCTGTCTTCTTTTGGGATTATCTGTGGCATTCTCCCATTATTCACTCCCCTAGGTTTCAATACCTAGAAACACCAGGCTTTTATAACCACCCTCTGGTGCATTTGAGGGTGAGAGGGGCCTGCTCTTTTCTGCCAGGGAACTTTCCAAGCAAACATCTGGTTTTCAGAAGCCATCGTAGGAAAAGAGCAGAACCTAGGGACAGAACCAGGAGGTTGTTGAGGAGGCAAAGGCTGGCCAGGAGCTCTCTGATGCTCTCCTGAGTAGGCGCTAAATCTAGGCGAAGCATTTGATGTTCCTGATACCTCCCTTTAAACAGTGCTTTTATCTTTCTTCAAAGGACTTTTGTAGAAATCATCTCATTTGATCTTACCAACAACACTCTTGAGATACGCCAGTCCACCTGGGATATTTACATTTTAAGGTTACGGGAGACTGAGAAGGAGAACAGCTGTGTTTGCGAAATGATGTGGCAGTGAATTTGGTTGTGGCGGGAAGAAGTTGGAGATTTGGACGATTAGCCCTGTGTATGAGCCAACCACAACTCTTTGAGTGCTCTGCTAGGACAGCAAGTGCCATCGGTGGTCCCTTCCGCCTTCCTCTATCTGACACACTGAGCCCGGGGAGAGCTGAGCTCTCCCCTTATCCTTATCCCTTTTAATTTCATTTTGAAAGTTTCACTAAGTCACTCTCCTGGCCTCAAACTCGTCATTCTCCTGCCTCACCCTCCCGAGTAGCTGGGATTTCAGGCGTGGGCCACCACTCCCGGCTCCACATCACCTTTCAACAACTCGTGGCATGCTGTAGGGCCCGGATGTTCTGCTCTTTCCCTTGGCAGAACCTGGGTCTTTGGAAGCCTCGGAAAGTCTTAACGGAGGAACCAGGAAGCGCCCAGGAGTTAGGGTGGAATAAATTTACTAGGTTCAGCTAGTGAGGGACGCCATGATCTGGCCATTCCTGGTACTCATTCCTCTGTGGTACGCCTTCATCTCTTATTCAAGCCATGCTGAGAAATACGCTTTGAAAAGCCATTTTTGCTGTTGCTATGATATCCTGTGGAAAGGACGTTATCGTTAAATTACTCAATCTCTTTTTGTTGGACTTTTACAGTCTGGCCAGTTTGGGAGCTACTATAAAAAATAAAAGGAAGACTCCCCTTGTGGATAAATTCTTACCTCCTTACTTATTTTCTTAGCAATTTCACTTCTGTGAATTTTATGCCATTACAGACTTTGATGGTCAACCCACCAGCCACATCTAGGAGTGTCCATCTCCTTCCAGCTTGGCTATTATTTTAGTTTAGTATTACTTTAGTTTAAAAAAAATTTTGCCAATGTGCCAAGAAAAACTCTTTTCATGGGATTAATATGAGAAAATGGAAAAATAGGAACAAAATCTTTGTAAATAGGGAGGAATGGAGGGGTTGAAGGGAGGGCTGGGCAAGGGTGAAAAATAAGAACCAAGAGAGACTATGTAAAGGTGCAAATTTCCAATGATGAATGTCATTATATTGTATACCTAAAATGTACCAATGGTTAGAATGAATCATTGATAATGCAAAATAGGAAGAAAAGGTCCAAAGGGGTAGGGGTAGTGGGAGGGGCAGGGGAAAGGAAAGAAGGGAAAGGAAAAATGATGAGAAATGGACAAAATGGAAATAAAGTCTTTGTAAATAGGGAAGGGTGGAGGACATGAAGGGAGGGCTAGGAATGGGGAAAAAATAAGAACCAAGATGCATTACGTAAAGGTACAATTCCCAATGAGCAATGTAATTGTGTTGTGTACCTACAATGTACCCATAAAAGAATTTAACAACAACAAAAAAAGAATAACTCTTTTCATTTACATTCCTTTGATTGATTGTAAGGGTGAATCCCTTTTATTTGGTGACTTGCCTGATTTGGTTTTGTTTTTTCCCTTTAATGTTGTGTTTTCAAAATTGCTTATTCCAGTAATGTAGTTTCTCAGAGATTGGGATTTATTGGGAGAATGGCTACTGGTGTTTTGGAGATGCTGCACAGTGTCTTGCTATTGTTCTTTGGTAGTAAGACCCTGAATGTCCTTTGAAACTTTCTTCCCCCACTCTCAGTCCTCGAAGCTTTGAGACTTTGCCTCTGGTCTTAGTGGGAGGCATTTGATCAAGGCAAGTTTATCTAATCAGTGAATTCTCAGACTCACGTGGAGACTAGCAGGAAGAGCTGTCCTCTCTTACTGAATTTGAACCTCAGAGATTATGAGCTTGGAACCTCTGGAGTCTTTCCAATGAAGCCTGCGAATGAAGCCAATAAACTGTAAGGTAGAATTCAATGACCGAGAAAAGCGATACAGGTTGACATAATTTGATTTCCCAAAGAACCCACTAGAAGACTGCTCAGACTCTGGGCACTTTTCTGCCTCCCTTTACTAATTGTTTAATTTTTACTCAAGCACCTTTGAGCAGTTTTCTGTCACTTGGAACTCAAAGGGACTTGCTTACTTCCTCAGTCTTCCTTGTGAAGATGTTGGTGGAAGACGCTTCTGTATTACAAGTGGTGGATGGGAGGGAATAGGTCTTGGGCAACAATCAAAAATAAAGTTGGGTGTGGAACCAACCTCTGTTCAGGACAGCTGTTGAATTAGAGCAGTATCTGAGGTGGGATGTGTGTGCGCACACTTGTGTGTGTGTGCAGGGCCCACTGCTGAGGACCAAGCGTCTGGTGCGGAGCGTTTGTGACAATTCTTGGAACTCGGCCAGGCTACTGGCTTTGAAGTAAAGCTCACTGCAACATGTGCTTCTGCGGGCCTGGGTATCTGTGTGAGAGACATGGAGAGCAATGGGATGTCCTGCAGCCGGAACAAGATTCTCAGCACCCCAAGAGATGCTTTAATGACTGCCCAGGCGGAGCAGTGACTCTGGGGAGGTTTGGGAAAGCTCACTCAATGCCATGATGACTCTTAGGAGGTTTCTTTAGGACGTCCAGGAGCCTGTGTCGCAAGCCTACACATGTCAATGCTGGTCCTGAACCCGGCTTGCCATGGGCTACAGCAGCGCAGGCAGCTTCAATTGGTTTAGAAAGACAAAATGAATCAAAAAAGACCGTTGTTGTTAAGGGCTAAGTTAAGTGCAATAGACTAAGAGTTCTAAAAGTGTTCTAGATCAGATAGATGTTTTTGAATAATTAGGATGTGACATGGACCTTTATTAAAGTATGGGGTGATCATTTGAGGCACAAATTGTTATGCGTGATCTAGGACAAGATTCCCCTCAGCCAGGCTGCTAACAGAATAATCAGTTAACAGAAAAAGCTATGAGCAATGAGTACAAAGAACTCTGTAGTAGCATTTGCCTCCTTAGACATATTATCCAGTCCTTCCTGCCTTTACCATATTTGCTAAGTGGACCTGTGACGCTTTCCCATGGCAAATAAATCCAGTGGCATGTCAAAGGGCAGCTTTTTACTCACTTCTTGTCTCCTTTGTTAAGGGGTCTAAAGCATATCCTCAGTGTCTTTTATCACCTACAGATAAGAAACTTATTTTAAATGAAGCTTAGGTACACCTTATCACTTGCCTAGATTCTGGAGACTACAAAGAGCCCCGGGCCTTGCTAATCTGCTCATCGATGGTGTTTTGAGAAGAAAGCACTGGGTATGAAATTACTGAGCTATCAGTCAAAGAATCTACCCCTTGTCCACTGAGACCTGAGATTGCCTTTACTGTCTGGAGCCTATAGATTTATATCCTTGGTGAAGATAATGTATATGAAGCACCTATCTGTGTAATGCACCAAATACAGATAAAGTAAACTCTTTTAGGTGAGCAGTCAGGACATGCATAAAACTATTAGTAGAACAACACAGAGCATGATAAAATATTGGGTAATATTCTCTGAGCACTCAGTGTGCAGCAGGCCATGTGCTGAGTGCCGTGTAGCATTATCTCCATTCCCTGAGCTGGTTGAATGTGAACTAGACTCTTTGTCTAACTCACTGGTTTTGAATTTAAAGTTCTAGAGAAACTAAAGGATCCTTAAAGCACTGATTGGGACTTGGTTAACTTGTTGATTTTCTTTAAAAAAGCAATGGAGTTTAGGGGCCCAAACCTGGAGGTGGCTGGAAATTGACCAGAAGGCTGACAAGTCCCCATAAGGACCGGCATTGTGCTAGCCATTGTGGGCAAATCCATTCAGCTTAGGACCTCTGCTGTATTTCCCTTTGTGAACTCTTCTGCCCAATATCCCATCGTCCTTTGTTGAGATGAGGTCTTGCCCGTCCTGCCTGCTTTCACATAAATGTTTTAGGAACTCTCCACAGACTGGCTGGATTGTCTGTTTGAGCTGTGAACAGATTGTGTGGGTGATGGACAAGTAGGAAAAGACTCAGAAATCAAAAAAGGGGAGCAGAGCCCTTTCTCTCTCTCTCAGAATGGAGCTTGGAGACAAAGGGAACTTCGTTAATCATGCCTCCTTTGTCATCAGAGTGGGGGAGACACTTTTTAAACCACTACTATTTTGTCTACTGTCTGGTCTGAGTTAAACCAACTGTGCAATAGCTAATCGAGGGGTGAAAAATTTCCCAGAGGCAGCCAGGCGGAATCAGCTCCCCTGGGTAAAGGAGTCGGGAAACAGTGAGCCCAAAGCCAAGTCAGGTAGAGCAGGAGGCTCCTTGCAGGCCCTGCACTGACCGCGGAGGCTGGTTCATGCTTGTGTGATGAAAATGTCATTGGTGGTAAGAAATAGGAATGAGGTCCTTAAGATTTGGGACTTTTGGTAAATTTAATCACCTTCAGTCACTTTGTACTAAGCCCTTAAAACAAGAGCTAAATGGAAAATCCAAACACCTCAACTCACCGAGCAACCTTGGGCGACTTGTTTAATCTCTCTGTAGTTCTTTCTTCGAAATCAAAGGACGCTAATGATCTTTGGTGCCCACTTACTGGGTGTTACGTAAAATAATGAGACTGTAAATGCCTTGGGTTCTCTGGAGATGAAGAGACAGGAAAACGTCTCTGAGGTGGTATTCAGATTTAATATGGAAAAATGAATCAGGATAGCTTTTTGTTGTTGCTGATTAAGGCAAACCTGTTATTCTTTCAGCACCGCTCTGACAAGGGAGGTTGTGTGCCTTGCGAAGTGGCTTGACTTTGTAATACTTTAATTTTCTCAGGGCCGGCTCTGCAAATGTACAGTGTGGTTGGTTTTCCAAGAGGAAAGTTTGAGTTTAGCCCTGGCCTATTTCTTTGCTGAATCTAGTGGTGATGTGTTTTATAATGAATTGTTGGGCTAGGGCACGTAATGAGTTATTACATCAAAGGCCATGTTAGTGTTTGGAAAAGAGTGAATCCACTCTTACCTAGCTGGACGGTTGTCTGTTTTCTTTTAAAAATTAAATGGAGGGCGGGAGATTTAGCTCAGTGGTTCCACTGCCTGCCTTGCAAACACAAGGACCCAAGTTCGATCCCCAGTACCAAAAAAGAAAAAAAAAAATTAAATGGAGTCTGCCAGTCAAAACAGTTGATGTGTAGCTGTAAATTCCAAGAAAGAACGTCGGAGTGGAAAGATCTGGAAAAGAGCTACTCCATTCCTGGCCTCTTTTTAGCCCTCACTGGCCCGCCTTGTGCTCATCTCTTCAGAACACGGCAAAAGCTCCTCTTCCACCTGCCTCTGCCTTCCTTGTGGCTGGTCTCACCCGACGACATTGTCTCCCCAGGTAAGATTGGAGTTTCCCTCTCCTGTTCAGTACTGAACACCAGCAGACCTAGCTCCCCAGCACAGACCCTCCATCCTCCACCTTCTATCTGTGTGTTTCCAACAGGGAACCCATGTTCTACAGACCTTTTAGAGAAACAGATTTTTGTGTTGGAAGGGGCCTGGGAATTTGTCCAGCCCTGTCTCACCCGCAGGAGGGCCCCCCAGAGACTACTCCCTGCCCCTGCCTTTCTGTTCTTGTGACAAGCTTCTCTTCAGATCACCTGGTTAATTTTTTAATCCATTGAAACTGCAGCGAATGTATGTTCTTTCTTAGCATTCAGTGGAGAACTGTCCTCCACAGCCACACTGTAATTTCCACTCACGAATCCTGGATTTTCCCTTCGGGATAATCTACAACATGTGCTTCCCTTCTGTTAGTTGAGTGACTTTTCACCTAATTAGAGCTGACTGCCATTTCCTGGGATTTATTTCCTGGCTAGCTTAGGCTGCTAACCATCCTCGCTGTCCCTTTCTGGTGATTGTAGTTCCACTCAAGGTTAAGTTTATCTCTGCTGCCATGGCAACCACTACCGCTTGTTTCTATGTAGTGAAAACTGCCTTTTCCTGTTTTTTAATAGAAAAATCCGTAATTCAAAAATCAGTTTGTTGGTGTCCTTAGAACAAAGACATCCATACTTCTGGTCAGCTTCATGCTTAGGACACCAAGGCTTAACAGCAGCCTGTGCAGTGAACTGGACATTTTAACACATGGGACGCACAGCCGAGGCATATCACGTGCCTCTGGACTCATTTTCCCCATTAGGGGGAACAGTGTGGCCTGGCATAAAGAGAAACTGGATTCACACAGGTTTAGGTTCAACCCCCAGTTTGCCCACTTACTGGCTGTGACCTTGAATAAGTTGTTCTCATTTTTCAGAGCCTCACGTTAGCCCTATCTAAATGGAGAGAGTATTGACCATCACTTTCTTCTGTATAAGAATGGAAGTCAGTCCGGGTAAATCCCTACCACGAACACAACACCAACCTCAGTCACTCAGGAACAGTGGCCGTTATTATCATTTATAATCCATCTATGCCGCCCTGATGCCACCAGTGTAGCAGCGGGCAAAGTGTAATGGTTATGGGCTGTTGGCAACTTGGAATCCTGTAGCTAGCTCTTCCCTCTGAAGGAATGTTACTACAGAAGGAGTTAGATGAGTGTGACTCTTTTTTCTGAGCCCAGACGGTTGGGTTAAAGTAGGAGTTCTCACCTGATTTTGTTCCCCATGGGATATTTCACAATTTCTGGAGACATTTCTTATTTTCAGGGCTTGAGAGGGAAGGGAGGAAGCCACTCCTGGCAACTAGTGGGGAGAAGCCAGGGAGTTGCAGAGCTTTCTGTTCACTGGGAAGCAAGGACATCTGATTTTAGTACCCACGTCTTTTAGATCCTGGGATGGTGGTGAGGACGTCCCTCCAGGGCAGAAGACAGAACCGGGAACAGACCGAGTCCTCAGCTTCTGTCCAATCGCCTCTCCCTCTGCCAACAGCACCCTGACACCATCTCAGCCTTCACACGTGTCAGACACCATAAGAGGCTTTTCTATTCATTATTTTATCCTCCCCACAAACCTGTGCAGTGGATGCTGGCAGTCCAGTTTCACAAAAGGAAGTTTCCTGACTAATTTGCCAGGAAGGGACAGAGCTGGCATTTGAGCCCAAGTTTTTCTGAGCCTGGAGATCTTGCTTGTAATTTTTTTTACAATGGCTTTGATGACATAAAGAACCGTTCCTGTGAAAATAACTCCCTTGTTTTACTGTAATTGCTGTTTTCTCTTAGGACATTTCTTTTTTTGTAGAGGTAATCCTGGTAAATTTTAAAACACTTTCGAGAGCCAGCAGTTTCAGTGGAAACCGTCATGAATGTGATGAATCGGTGTCCCCTTGTCAATGACTGTTGGCTTAGGGCAGTCTCGGCCAGACTTTCATTTCTTTTGAACAATAGGTGTAGCTCTGTTGAGCTTATTTCTGTCATTCTAAAAAATAGAGGTTGGACATGATCCAAATTATTTCATTGTATTGGAATGTCTTTGTGCTGAACCAGTCTGAGTGGAAGGGGTGGCTCTGGGAGCAGGAAAGGGGTTTTTCGCTGTTGTTATTTTTCCCTAGAGGTTTTTGTTATGGTTGGATCAGTCCCACCTTCCCAGGGGAGATTTCACTGCGCTGAACTCCTTTGGATGAAGTTCTGCACATGCAGTTGGCTATAGATCGCCCCTGCTTTCTGGAGCCCTAATTTGTTCTCTAAAACACCCAGAACCCATTCAGACCCCAGATAGTAACCAAAAAAACACAGAAAGGCCATGAAGATTTGTCTCTCTAGCAGACAGGAAAATGCAAGAAGAACAATGTGGGGAGGTTCGGCAGCCACTGCTCTTGGGGTACAAGTTGGCCCTAATTTAAGAGGGTTTTTTTCACCTTGAAAGAAGGACTTTCATTATTAAACACAGAGTACATAAATCCCGTACAGATCATGTAATTGTTAGGTCATGAATGTCTAACCGTGACAATTCTGCCTTTTAGACTTGAGAAAACTAAAGTCAAGATTGGTTGTCTACTTTACCTGGTTAATGGCACAAAAACAACAAATGAACTCAGTGGCCCCGGGTCCTGCACCATAGCACCCTCTGAGTCCTGTCCTCGGATCTGCAGAGGGTCAGGATCGGAGCCCACTGTGCCCAGAATCCAAGCTCTGAATACACGAAGAGTGCACACAGAGTGTGACTGCTGGGGAAGGCCCACCAGCTGTCTTCCTGTCACTGTCCAGTGTCAGATGTCCCTTCAGGCCTGCACAGACGTGGGCGGCTCCTTGTCCTCTGTCTGGTTAGCTTTGGATCAGTCTGATTTTTTTTTTTTTTTGATTGCTGATTTCCATTCTTCCAGCATGCAACATTAGGATTATCTGGAACAGATCTAACTCCTCTTCCCAGTCCTAGTCACTCACCAGTTGGATCTTCATCTGCAGCCACCTCTCCAGTCCCTGTTCTGAGATCCTGTTTTAGACAAGCTGTACACCTCCAGCACCTACAGATTCCTCCTATGATCTGACATATTTATTACTTTCATTCCTCCCTCCGTGAATGACATTACCACTCATCTGTGGCCTGTGTAGGAGAGTCAAGGACATCCTTGCCAGTTCTCTCTCTTGTTCCCATCCCACTGGAAGCATCTGGGGTTACAAACTGTTCCCCTAAGTAGCTCCTCCCTCCAGCCCAGGAGGATGGGACAGTGCCTTTGGGAGCCCCGTGTCCCCTGGCACTCCGATGCCCTTCCTCACTCTGCATCACCTCCGCCTCTCACTGCTTTTCTTCTCTGTGCTGCTGACACTTTCCTAGGTAACAGTGGAGCTGAGAGAACCAAGTTGGGTCTTCAGGGTCAGTAGCGTGCCTGTCCTTCTGTCTGAGCCTGTTCTGTGGGGAGTCTGAGCCTTAAGAGGGCTGTTTGCTTTTATTCTCTGGTCGTGCTTGTGTACAGGATGTTAATGAAATGCCCAGCAGATTCTGTGTTTTCTTAAGACTACAGGTTCCACCAGAGACTCTTCACACATGCAGGCTGTACACACATTTAGGACTGAGGTGGAATGTTTTTCTTATCTTGTTTCCCGTTTGCTTTCCATCCATGCTGTCCATACAGCTCTTGGGGCAGCATGGGAGTGAGGTAAATAACTAAATCCTAGCTTATGGAACCTGATTCTCCGGGGCTTGTGTCACAGAGTAGTTACCTAAACATGTTCCTGTAATATAAGTGTTGGCTAGAAACCCTCTGGGAACAATTTTAGAAAAATTGCCATTTTTCAGCCGGGCATGGTGGAGCACACCTGCAATCCCAGCACTCCGGAGGCTGAGGCAGGAGGATTGCTGAGAGTTCCAGGCCAACCTGGGCTACATAGTGAGTTCAAGGCCAGCCTGAACTACGTAGCAAGACCCTGTCTCAACCTGCCCACCCCACCCCCCACCCCCCGGCAAAAAAAAACCCTTTTTAAAAATTTTACCCTTTTTTGTTTCCTTTTCATATGGTGCTGGAGATTAAACCCAGGGCCTCTCACTGAGCTGCATCCCTTTTTAAAAAAATTTTTTGAGACAGGGTTTTGTTCAGTTGCTAAGTTGTGGAGGCTGGGCTTGGACTTCAGTCCTCCTGTTGCAGCCTCCCAGAGTATGTCTCTTTGCTTGTGACATATAAATTTCTTTTGTTTATGTGCACTCTCGGGTGATAGTTTAGGACAAGTTCATTTGCTCCTCAGAATTCAGTGTTCATTTTATGTATCGGTAGACAGATCTGTGACTGTGGCCCGAGGTGTTTGTCCAACCCTTAGTGTTGGCCCAAGCTGTCACCTCATGTTGGTTCTATCTTTTTTTTTTGGTACCGGGGATCGAACTCAGGTCCTTGCGCTTGTGAGGCAGGCACCTGAATCACTGAGCTAAATCCTGACCCTATCAGGGTTTTTTGAAAGAAGAATTCCTAAGAATGTGAATATTAAAACAGCGTTAACATTGACCTCTGCTCTGCATCCTAGGGAATTCCCCGTTCTGAGGGCAGCCTTTTTGGGCCGGAGGGACAGGAATATCATTGCTTTGGTGCCCATGGAAGTCCAGATAGTCACTGCCAGGCCTTGCTTGCCTGTGGCTGCAGCTTACTTGGTGGACACCAGATTTTTGACCCCTCAGAAGGCTGTAATTTTTTCTTTGGTTGTTTGTATCCACCTCCCTCTCAAACCGGCCAGAAAATGGGGAAAAACAAATCAATAGCAGCCTTGCACATCTGTTGACTGGGCCTTAATGGGTTCTCCAGTTCCAAGAACGCCGCATGGGTAGAGAGGAGGCTGGGTCATCCCGGCATGCTGGAGAGAAACTCCTGGAAACTTCTGCTCAGTTCAGCTCACTGCTCTGTGCTCAGTGACTTCCTGCCTGTTCTCTCAGCTGAGAACTCGCCCTTTCCTGAGTCCCTGGGGCCATTGTTGGCTCCCTCAGGTATCAGTGGATGTTTCCTTAGGTTGCTAGGAGGGCAGCCTGCCTCTTCCTTGTCTCCCTGTCCCACACTCTGCCCACAGCTTCTGTGACAGGGCTTGCACTGCAGCTGTGTCCCTGACAGGGATCTTCCAGAGCTAACACCCTGAAGACTGCGGCCTGGAAATGGAGTCACCACCAAGACCCCAGGAGAACGTGGAAGGAAATCCATAGATCCTGATAGGCCTGGGTCCCTGCTGGACAAGCGCCTCCCAGATCCTCTGCCTGCCCAGGGTTAGGAAGAACCGCACCTTGGGGATGCAGCCTTCGCCCGACATCTCTCTGCACTAAGCATTGGAAGAGCTACTAGGCCAGGTGTGGTGGTGCACACCGATAATCCCAACACTCTGGGAGGCTGAGGCAGGAGGGTCCCAAATTAAGGCCCAGCCTGAGCAATTTATCGACTTAGTGAGACATTGTGTAAAAATGTAAAAAGGGCTGGGGATGTAGCTCAGTGGGTTCAATCCCC